TCATTGAGTACATTAGCTTTTAGGTTTAAAGGAATTGGAGACTTGTGTCTGCAATGCAGCTGATTTTTTTTTCTTTTTGGTAAATTTTATTGAATAATACAGATTTCTGGCACCTAAATCATAAGATAGACATGTCGAGGAAATCGCAATCAATAATGGCTTGTCAAATAATCCTTGGTTTCTTCAGTAATTGCAAGAATATGTATTATTATCCAGACCTGCACATGACATAGCAGGTTTTCTATTCTAATCTCCGAAGTATTTAGTAGTTTATGGAGAGCCTAGTGAACCTTCATCTTGTAGCTTTTCTTAAAAATTTAGAGCAAGGTAAGTCCAAATGGTTTGAAATTTGGAATGTAAAGGAAGAATTTTGAGCTAATTGCATCCCTTTATTTGGTTTCCTACAGAAGATGGCCCCTTTCCTGGAATCATTGACATATATGGTACTGGAGGGGGGCTTCCTGAATATAGGGCAAGCCTGCTGGCCAATCATGGCTTTGCCACACTGGCTCTGGCTTACTATGGCTATGAAGATCTCCCCAAAGATATGAAGGAATTCCATCTAGAGTATTTTGAGGAAGCTGTGAACTATATGTTGCAACACTCACAGGTCAGTTTATTCATGGGTGTTCCCATGATACAGGGAGCTCTCATCATAAGGCTGTTGTAAAGCAATATTTGATACACAGCTGCTGTGCTTAAAATCTCAGCTCTATCAAAGTCCATTGTAAACAACTTGTATTGGTAATCCTCTATGACTGGTCCATTTGAGCTTTGCATTTTAGCTGATACCATTTCCTGGGGGGTGTCTTACTGACACCCTCTCTCATCCCCCAACCCACCCACCTACACATCATTATAAAATTCTACTGAAGTTGTGTTTGTCTCTAAGGTGCCACAAGTACTCCGTTTCTTTTGAGGGCTGTTGCCGGAGATTCTCAAGCTTCCAAAAGGGGTTTTGTTTTATTTTTTCTGTAGATTGGCCATGACAGAGTATTTTTATGCATGTTAAGCTTCTGTGATCCACAGTTTAAGGAAGTCCACAAACACTAAGGCCTGGTCCCCATTAAGCCCCCACTTCGGACTAAGGTACGCAAATTCAGTACGCAAATTCAGCTACGTTAATAACGTAGCTGAATTCGAAGTACCTTAGTCCGAACTTACCGCGGGTCCAGACGCGGCAGGAAGGCTCTCCCGTCGATGCCGCGTACTCCTCTCGGCGAGCTGGAGTACCGGCGTCGACGGCAAGCACTTCCGGGATCGATTTATCGCGTCTTAACCAGACGCGATAAATCGATCCCAGAACATCGATTGCCTGCCGCCGGACCCTCCGGTAAGTGAAGATGTACCCTAAGTTATTGCCTTTGAGTTTAAGAAGCTGTTATGGTCACTACTAAATGTTAAAATTTTGTATTCTGGAACTGCATTTGTTTCCAGTACCTGGTGATGGATATTTTGAGGCCTTGTCTTTGTACAATTTATAATAGCCACAACCACTAGAGCCACTCTAATCTACCCAAAAGTCTATTGGTAAAATCCCCTTTCTCTCCCACCATACTAAGCACAGGATGCCCCACCCTCTTTGAATGCTGTCAGTGCCTCCGTCCCCCATTATATTTTCTATCATGTTAAAGTTCCATGCCCTTCATCTTTTGAAGGCCCTGCATAATTTTACCCCTACCTCCAGTTCTTTGAAGCCAGTGGAGTTGCAACCACTTATGCTAGTGGTGAAACAGGTGGTGAAGGAGAGTAATCTTAGTAAACTATGGCACAGTCTTTAGTTAAGTGTTCATATTTGAGTGTCTTACACTTGATGAGCACTCTGGAATCATTATGGAGTTAGCGAACCTGGTTAGATTAAATCCTTTACAAATATTTTATCTCCAAAATCATGCTGTTTTTTATTGTAATGAATTTGCATTTATAAATGGGAAACTATATAGGAAAGTGCTCTGGAAGCACCAGTGACAGTTCCATAATTACGGTTGAGTATTTTGAACTAAAAGCAGGGATTCAATTACTGGTATTTTAAAGAAGATTACAGTGTATCCTTTCCAAAATTACAGCACTTATTCTTTGAGTAAATTCTTATAAATGTCTTTCTTTACAAGTACACTGTGAGTAGTTTGAGATAAAAAATAATTAAAATGGGCCTTTTTAAGAATTCTTTTTCTATGCCAAATTATCTTAATAATAGAATAATGCGGACTCTTCAAACTTCCTGAACAGTTTTCTGCATCAGCTACAGTTGAAGAAACATTCTCGGGATTAATATTCATTTTTAGCATTATTATTAACTGAACATTTCTCCTTCAGCAGCGGTAGAATAATAATGATGTTCTACAGAGAATTCAGTGAAGAACTGGCCCCTTTCAAAATGGCTGCCATCTCTCATTTTCCCAATGAGAGGGATGCCGAGCTGCCTTCACATTGCTGGCCAGGGCGGAAAACATTTTTGGTGCCTTCTCCCAAGCAGCTGAGAAGGGAGGGCGGTGGGGGAAAGGCCAACCAATTGGAGTGGAGGGAAAAAAAGCCAATCTGTGCCAGCACCTCCTGGAAGAAGGTACCTAGATCAACTACCCCTCTTACCCGCCCCTAGAACCGGTCATGGGTGGCTTCCACTAGTGACCACTATGAGGGAGGACAAATTGAATGTACAGTATCTTTAAAAATTGGTTTTACTCTCATCTGGGGCTGCAAACCCTATTGTGCACTAATTATAATTATATGATTATTGTATTGCATCAATATAGACTGGAGTTAAAGTTGTTTGGGTGCCTTAACTGTGTTTTACTATATCTTAATATGTTTGGATTTCTTTAAGTAGAACCCTAACTCTGAATTTCCTGGGCTTGTAATACTTGGTGTGAGGATAATTAGTATGACAACTGCCATCTTATTTGACATCAGGATTCAACTGGGGACCTCCAGAGTTCTAAGCACAAATCTATCTACTGATTGAGCAAAAGAGCCAGGTTCCATAGCTGGGAGTTGTAAACAACTTGCATCCTCTTCCCTTAGGCACAGTGGAGGAAGTATAACACACATGTCCAGTGGGTACAACAGCATCTCTGAAATGTTTTTTCTTTAAAATGCCAATACGTACTCAGTCTTAACACCAGTTTATCATAGTTTTTATCTGGGAATTAATATTCAGTATAGATGTCCTCCTCTTTCCCTAACACACTAGATCTGAAAACAACCTAGGATATAGTTGTTTTAAAACGTGTATATCTGTTTGCAAGGTGTTTTTTTGAGAGTAAGTTCAAACCCAGCTAAAATTCAAGGGGACCCCCTCAGTGAGTTATACTTAGAAGTGAGGTTGAAGCCATTCCTCAAGTTGTGATCTCATAAATTATGCAGAATTGGGCTGAACTAATACATGGATGGAAGAATTATAAGGAAAACCTAGGCTACTACAGGAAAGTTTATTGCTGATTCAGTAAGTGGCTTTTCTCCTAGGAGTTAATATTAATTAGTTATCTGTAATACCATCACTTTGCAATGTAAAAACAGTCACTTTACCCCACTCCAGATGTGGCAACATTCACTAGAGGGTGAATAGATTTCTATGAAGTTCATACAGTTATCAGAGTTTGAGCCCTTAGCACCTTTTATCCATTTGAAGCTTTATAGAAATGTAAGATTATTAATTTCCATTCAGTGCTAATGAGCTCTCTTTCTCTCCCACTCAGGTTAAAGGTCCTGGAATTGGGTTACTTGGAATCTCTAAAGGTGGTGACCTATGTATCTCCATGGCTTCCTTCTTAAAAGGCATTACTGCCACTGTCACCATCAATGGCTCTGTGGCCAATGTGGGTGCAGTGCTTCGTTACAAGGATATCACTATTCCACCTCTTGGCATCAATTGGAAGCGCATCAAGATTGATAAGTCTGGGATTGCAGATATTGTGGATGTCTTGAATAACCCACTAGAGGGACCTGACCGTCAAAGCTTTATCCCACTGGAGAAGGCTGAGGGGCACTTCCTGTTCATTGTTGGCAAAGATGATCATAACTGGAAGAGTGAATTCTTTGCCACTGAAGCCTCCAATCGTTTGCAGGCTCATGGGAAGGAAAAGCCTGTGATAGTCTGTTACCCTGGAGCAGGGCATTATATTGAACCACCCTTTTCCCCAATGTGCTCAGCCTCAATGCACCTGTTGGTTGGCAACCCTGTGATCTGGGGAGGTGAGCCCAAAGCTCATTCTGTGGCACAAGTGGATGCTTGGCAGAAAATCCAAGCCTTCTTCCACAAACACCTCAGTGGTAAACAATGTGTAACAGGCAAGCTGTGACACACCTGGCTATAAGGTGCATTTTACAGATAAAATTACTAGTTGTTAAAGTTTACTTGGGTAAAAGAATCTTTCAGTGAGTATGAAAGGGAATTTGAGTGAATAAATCTTTAAGCTGAATTTTTTTGTTCCTCCCCTCCACTGCCCAGGTTGCTGCTGGACCTTAGAGGACCAGAGGGTTTTCTGTTTTCTCAGCCCATGGGACATGACCCACTTGCAAGTCACACCCCACAAGTTGAGGATTAGTGCACAGTAGAGTTAACTTTCAGCCTACTGTGTGGGGATTTAGCCATTACATATGATTCTCATTCTAGTCTCATGGCTTGGATTATAAGCAACTGAATTGAAATATTGTCTGTTGCTTCTGAATTAAATTTACTTAAACTGTTTGTTGGTTTGATAAGTTTCAAAATCCAGTGCCTTGCAAATCCAAGCTAAAATTGATTGACTGTAAAACCAACTCAGTGTTTTATGGAGGTTTTTTTTCATTATCATTAAAATTAAATAAATACATATTTGAGGATTTTCGTGCAGTTGTATTATAGGAAGTGCTGGCAGCAACACAGGTTAAGGTTGCCTAACACATTCCATTATAAGGCCGTATATTCAACTGATTGTAACCTTGCCAGACTTAAACTGTTTGGACTGAGATTTTCTGTGCCAGTCATCTGCCTTGGTCTGATTTTGTTTCAGCTAAAATGGGAATGCCATTCCAAGAAAGAGTAGGGAACTCTTTTGGTTTTCCTGTGTTAAAATGTTACAGCTACTTTATTCAGAAGTTGTAGTGCCTCAATGGTTTGGAGCAGGGACTCAAAATTTGGCAGGTGGATCACCTTAGTATCAGGGATATGCCTCTTGTTGATTTGTAAAAATCTGCCCAATTTAGCTAAATTATAAGCCTCTAGAAATTGAAGTTTGCACATGCTCATTAAAGGTTTGTTAGAGGCTGACAGTATTCATCTTTAAAGATTCTCTCTGCAATAAGCACATCCCTTCCCCATACAGCTTCTTGTGCTGACCAGACTGAGCATGATCCATTCCAAGGTTGCATGGGCTGAGCAGGATTTTTCCTGAAATTGCTCCTCCCGCCTGCTGTAGCACTAAACACAAGTACAGAGAGCAGGGAGTGTCTTTCCTTTGATCTCAGTGACCCCACTGCTGGAGCATTGGCTGTGTAGAGGGAAAGGAAGGTGCAGCCTGAGTTGCTCAAATTCAGAGGGATGAGAAGAGAACACAGTCTGTGGGAGGAGATGGAAGCAGGGGAGATAAAAACAGAAGGGGCCAGGTGGGGGGAGATGGAGCAGAAGGGTCTATAACCACTAGAGAGACACTCATTTCTGAACATGGAATACAGTCCAGAATTCCTGAGTCCCAACAAAACTCTGCTGTCAGCAAATCGCTGTCAAACCCATTAACGAAGAGTGTGTTCCATGCCTCTTTAGTGACTGGTGCACCTACAGGATAATAGCCTACTACTATAACCAATTACTCCATTGGTGCAAGTGATAGAGATCTATGCTGTGGTGGATCTAAAAGTTATAATCCTGTTGATGACCTATGTTGGGGTTAATATGGCTTCACATGATGGAATTTTTGATTTAGTACTTTGCTTTTAAAAAAAAACAACAACCGAGGAAATTATATAGAAAACCACCCCATTAAAAGAACGTTAAGGCTGCAAGATCAAGCACTCGGAAGTCATGAAATGTCAGAAGTAGTGTTGCCCATGCATATATTATGATCATACTATTTTTTCTTCAGAACTTCTGCCTCATTTCCTAACTCCTGAGTGCTTGACTTTGCAGGCTTATTACTGTATTGTCATCTTCTTATATGTAAGTTTGTATTCAGTGTAGTAAGCTGTTACATTAAATGACATGAGGGGCCTATCAGTCCTTTAACACACAAGCAACACAAGCAAGATCCACTCCCTCAAAAAGCCTGTACATAGAAATAAATAAAAAGGATTTCATAGATTCTAGGACTGGAAGGGACCTCGAGAGGTCATCGAGTCCAGTCCCCTGCCCTCATGGCAGGACCAAATACTGTCTAGACCATCCTGGATAGACATTTATCTAACCTACTCTTAAATATCTCCAGAGATGGAGATTCCACAACATCCCTAGGCAGTTTATCCCAGTGTTTAACCACTCTGACAGTTAAGAACTTTTTCCTAATGTCCAACCTAAACCTCCCTTGCTGCAGTTTAAGCCCATTGCTTCTTGTTCTATCCTTAGAGGCTAAGGTGAACAAGTTTTCTCCCTCCTTATG